TGTATAGGGTTTCCAAGGAGTGGCTGGTGAGCTTGAACCATCAACCTTGCAGTTTAAACCGACCTTGTGGCCCAGTGCTTATCCTATGAATTTGCTAACTGTGGTCAGGAGGGAACAATTGTGGGAGAAGGATATCATGTTTGGTAAGATGGAGGGTCAGAGAAAAAGAGGAAGACCCCCAACGAGATGGATTGGCCAGGTGGCAGCATCGATGGACTCAAGTATGGCAACAGTAGTGAGGTTGGCTCAGGATTGGGCAGTGAGTCGTTCTGCTGTGCATAAGGTCTCTATGAGTCAGTACCGACTCGATGGCACCTAACAACAACAACTGTGGTAGGCAGTATTAGGGCCCCAAAGGTGGTGGTGCTAGTTTAACAGTCAAGTTGGTTCCAACTCATAGTGACCCTCTATAGAGTTTCTAAAGATTGGCTGGTGGATTTGTACCACCTACCTTGCAGTTAGCAATCCAGTGCTTATTCTACAGTGCCACACCAGGACTCCAACCCACATCCTAATCCCCAGAATCTGTGAATTAGAAAAGGAGAATTAAAGTTACATATGGAATTATGTCTGTTATCAGTTTACCTTAAAATAAGGAGATTATCCTGGCTTACTCAAATGAGTCCAATGTAGTCATGGCAGTGGCAGTGGTTGGCTGTGGAGTCAGTTCCAACCTATAGCAACCCTTCATAGGTTCCGAGGCTGCAAATCTTTACAAGGGCAGAAAGCCTCCTCTTTCTTCTGTGGAATGGCTGGTAATTTCAAATTGCTGACCTTGTGGTTATCAGCCCAACTCATAACCACTACACTATCAGAGCTCCTTAATGTAATCATTGTTGTTGTTGTTAAGTGCCGTCGAGTCAGTTCCGACCTATAGTGACCCTGTATAGGGTTTCCAAGGAGCGACTGGTGAGCTTGAACAACCGACCTTGTAGTTCAAATGGCTTTGCAGTCTGGCGCATTAACCCACAGCGCCACACCAGGACTGATAAGAATCCTGTAATCTTAAGAGCCCCTAAAAGTGGAATAATGAGGCCAAAGAGCCAGTGTCTGCATTCTATATGTAAGAAAGACTGGGCTGGATATTGTTTGCTTTGAAGATGGAAGAGAGTCATAAGCCAAGGATGAGAGACACCTCAAGATACTGGGAAATGGTAAAGAAATTGATTCTTCCCTAGAGCCTCCAGAAAAGGAAGGCAGCCTTGCTGATGATACCTCAATTTAAAACCAGTGAGACCCAAGTCAGAATTTTGACCTACACAATCACAAGATAATAAATTTGTGTTGTTCTAAGCCACTAAATTGAGGGTCGTTTGTTACAGCAACAACAGGAAATTATTGTTGTTTGGTGCTGTCAAGTTGGTTCTGACTCATAGCCTCCCTATGTACTTGTATAACAGTGCATCCTCACAGTCCTTACAATGTTTGAGAGCATTGTTGCAGCCACTGTGTCAGTCTAGCTCACTGAGGATCTCCTTGTTTTTCACTGACCCTCTACATGACCAAGCATGATGTCTTAGTTACTAGTGCTGCTACTTCAAAAACACTCCAAGTGGATGACTTTCACAAACAGAAACTTATTCTCTCATAAGGACATTGAAATTAGTTTCAACTTTTTTCTCATTGTAAACAATAATGCACTGAGCCTAATTCATTGCACTATGTATGAGACTTTCTGCTCTGCAAAACTTTACAGCCTCAGAAACCCGACACAGGACCACTGTGAGTCGGAACTGACTCAACAGCATTAATGATACTGACTGTGTTTCCATGTGCTTATTGGCCATTTGCATACATATTTCTTAATTGGGTATCAGAATTTTTTAAATTCCTAGGCACAACTTGTTGATCCAAAGTTACTGCAAAAATTAACAGTTCTTTGTAGGTATTGTTTCTCAAAAAGATAAATATCTTTTTATATACCTCCAATTTTTTTTTTCATTTCTTATTCCCTCCTCTCCCAAGCCCCTAATGTTGTGAAAGATGTGCCTATTTATATTCTACTTCATAACAGTGTAATCATACATTTGACCTTTGAAGTCTGAATTATTCACTTAGCACAATGTTTTCAATACTCATCTATGTGGTAGCATGTGTGTTGTGGTTGTTGTTGTTAAGCGCCATCAAGTCAATTCCAACTCATAATGACCCTGTATTGGGTTTCTGAGGAGTGGCTGGTGGATTTGAACCACTGATCTTGCAGTTAGCAGTCGAGTGATAATTTCATAGTGCCACACCAGGATTCCGATGGCATAAAGCCTTATTCTAATTACAGCTGAATAATACTCCATTATATGTACATTGGACTCCTGGGTTGGTGCTGCTGTAGGATCAGCACTGGACTGTGAACCACAAGGTTGGCAATTCAAACCCAGCAGCTGCTCCTCAGAAACCCTATCTATACAGGGTCACTATGAGTCGGCACCAACTCAACGGTACTAAACAGCATATCGACAGTTAAACCTGTGAAAGCTGGGACTGTGTAAAAACAGAAAACTGCCAGAGAAGGAAAACTTACTGGGTGCTTATGAGATAGGATTCTTAATAGAGAGAAATAGAAAAGGGATTAAACACCTGGTCAAGGGCAGAAAACTTGCAAAACCTGGAAAAATAAGGCAATCCCAGAGTTCCTGTTCTAACACGTTTTACTGTAATATCCACTCTAGTGAACTGACGTGTTATCTCATTGTGGTTTGATGCTTCTCTGAAATCCTATAAAGGGTCGCTATGAATCTAACCAACATGAAAGCACTTAACAACAATGATGTGGCACTGTAAGATAAGCACTGGACCACAAGGTTGGTTTGAACCAAAAGGTTGGTGGTTCAAATCCGCAAGCCACTCCTTGGAAACACTGCACAGAGTTACTATGAGTCAAAACTGACTCAACTGCACTTAACAACAACAATGGCTAACGTGGTTCAAGTCCACCAGCTGTTCCACGAGAGAAAGATGAGGCTTTCTGCTCCAAAAAGATTTAAAGCTTTGGAAACCCTATACAGTAGGAACTGACTCAACACTGCTTAACAACAACAACAATGTCCAATGATAAACAATGTATTGGCCATTTGCATAGATTCTTTGATGAAATGTCTATGTAAGTACTTTGCTCACTTTTTAATTAGGTTGTAGTTTGTTGTTGTTTTTTTCAATTATAGGCAAAACTTGTTGAGCCAAAGACTGCAAAAATGAATAGCTCTTTACAGGTATTCTTGAAAAGATAAATAGTAGTTGAAATATCATCAACATATAAAAATTTCCAATAGAAAGTATTTTTCTATCTTTCACAATTTGAAAGGTGAAATGAGTACTTGTTTTACATTGCATTTTTTTTATTATTGTTAAGCTCGTACACTGTTGCTTATAAATCACTCTGTAAAATGGAAATATAGTGTCCATTTTCATTTCTTCTTTTGTTAAGTGTCCAAATCTTCTGACCACTGCTCTTTAAGTGTTCATCTTTTTCTATTCCTTTATTTTTAAAAAATCCACTTGTGCCAGATACATGGAAAATATTTCCAATTTGGTTTTATGTTTGATATTTTAAAGTACAGAAGTTTTCATTTCATCATAATTGAATCTATCAATCTTTTCCTTTATAATTTTGACCCTTGAAGTCATATTTTAAAATATTCTTCACTGTTTATGTTTATATAAATATTCATCTGTATTTTCTCTTAGTGCTTTTACAACTGCATGTTATGAATTAAGAATCTAACTTCGGTTTTCCTCAATGATATTATCTAGGGCTCTCAACAATAAATATATTCAATATCTCTCTGTTCCTTTCCTTACTAGTGTGGTGCCTTGAATTAAGTTGATATGGCTTTTCTATCCAAAGTCTTTCTTACTACCCAAGTGATTGAGTGGGACCATGCAAATAAGGCATAGGACTCCAAGCCTGGGATTGGTTTGTTTTCTCCTCCAGTTAGGTTCAAAAGGAGCCATCTCAGAAGCAGAGATGGAAGATCCCAGGTCCATCAAGAAGTAAGAGCACATGAGATCACTACCTAGAGAAACTGTGATGGCAGAGGTGATGGCAGCAACTTTAGAGGCAGTGGCATGGAGAGACAGAGCAGCTTCAACCTCTAGGCCTATGGACTAAGTAAAGCTGAGTGCCTGTGGGCAGGAGAATGGCTTGAAGAATGTGTCCTTTGGGCATTCACAGACTGGCTAAAATAACTTTATAACAAGTGCTTGTGTAGGGCAGAGGCCAAGGGACTACATGGCTGAGAAGCTGAAAACAAGAGTGAGGTGTGCCTGCAGTATGGCAAACAAGAGCCATTCCTGATTGGAGAACTGGTGCATCCTGAGTTGGTTTTGATCCTGAATTGTACTTTGGTCACTTCCCTATTACTCCCATAATCATGAGTATTGTTGAGTTTTGTGTATCCATTGCAATGGATTATCAAACCCAGATGTGAAGCAGAGAGTGCTGTGGGACGGATGGTTGGTGTGAGAAGAGGGAAAGGAAGGTTGCAGGGCAGAAGCACGTCTGACCTCCACTTCATAGGAATCAGCCTTGGGCTGATTGTGAGTTTGATTCTCTTTATACCCCTTTGAAGCCAGAGGAAGTCAAATATGGCTCCCACATGATTTTAGCAACTAACTAGAATAAGTTAAAGATAATGGTTTCAAAACAAATTCTGATATAGACTTGAACTCTCAACTTTTAAAGTGAACTTTTCTGGGAAAGTGAGAACATTGTCAAAAGAAGAGCAATTTTTTGTTTCGTTTTAATGACTACAGTCTCAGTGGCTTCACATACACTCTTTCAGATAGAAGATGTTTCACCCAGAAAGTAATGACCGCATCTGTGAAATAAATAAGTAACCACACCATAGCTAAAATATTTATACTTTCCAGTAATAAAATGTCAAAATCTTTAACAGTACAGATGAGAAAGCAAAAGAAAAAAACCACATCCTTTGTGTATCATTATATATTAGTAATGCCAATACCTGAAAATATATGGTATCCACATGTGCATAACAGAAGCCATGAAAATCCCCCCTGCTGCTCTCTTTCTCCTTCTAATTCCTGGAGGTAAGACATATTTCCATATGCTTTTCAGTTTTGCTCATGAGAAAGTGGAATTCTATATTAGTTTATGTCTAATATTATGTAAAAAGGAAAAAATTCCTAATTTTATTTATAATCATTTTTAATGTTGCCATTTGTCTTTATTATCTAAAAGGCATATTGGCATGTTAGCTTTTTAAGAAAAAAATGTACCTACCTGGTTGTAGTACAAATATGAAATATGAGCTATATATAGCTAATGGATCTCATAAATTCAGGCCAGCTCTTCAGAGTAAAACCTCTAAGTGAAAAGCTGGCAAAGTTATTAAATTGGGGATGCATAGATTTATTAGCAGGACCTCCCCCTCCCACTCATACAAGTTGAGTAATCTACAATAAATCTTAAAACTTTTGGTCTTAGAATGTGTTTGTGAATATGTCTGTTTCTAATGGTGAGGGTGGTAAAGAAAACAGTATCAGTATAAACTAATCAAGTGAAACATAATATAATTAATACTATATACACATTATTATTAATATTATATATTAATACATATTTGCCAAATTTTCATAAAACTTTCCACTAAGAATAACACTATCCTAAGCACCAGACATCCTGCTGCTCCTCAGAAACCCTATATAGGGTCGTTATGGGTCAGAATCGACTCGAAGGCACTTAACAACAACAAGCATCAGACACGTATTAAATTGCTGACCTTGTGGTTAGCAGCCCAGCTCATGATCCACTACCCTATCAGGACTCCTCAATCTCTTTATGTATATGCTATTTTTACCAGCCCCATTTTACAGATGAGGAAACCAAGGAATAGAAAGTTTAAGTAAATTGACTAAGGTCATCAGCTAGCAAGCTGGGGTTCATAACTAGAGATCATGTCTTTGAACTCAGTGACCTTGTGTAGGAATCTACAAACTGCTAACCACAATGTCAGTGTGGTGCAAAACTACCAGCTGCTCCTCAGAAGTTCCTATAAGCTCAGAAAGTTTGTGAACCTCCCAAAACTAGATGTAAAGGTTTGTATATGTGTATATGCATATGTGTATCTGTACTTCATCAGACTCTCAAGTGGTTCTGCATTTCAAATTTTTTAAAAGGTAAAGAACCATTGCTTTAGAAAAAGAGGGCTTCGCAATGGAGAGAATATGAGTTTGCATTATATGAAACCGGGTTAAAGCCCTGCTTTACCATTTACTACTTGTGTGAGCTTGGGTGGATTAATTATCCTATCTAAATTTCATCTTTCTTATCTATACACCAGAAAACCAGTACCACCTAGCAATATAGTAAATATTAGAGCCAGTGTCTTATACTATTAATAGGAATAGCATAGATGTTTTCATTATTAATGTTGCTGTACTTGATTTTTCTAAATATGTTACTAAGCCATCATTTATTCCAAATAATAATTTCACAATGGAGTATTATGAAATCATCATGGTCAAGAATACAGTCTCAAAGCTGAGGCTGGAACAATCTAGCCTGCCACTAGTACGAAGTTTACAGTCTGTGATGGACAGGATCAGAAGACTGGGATCCTGCCCATCTGCCTTGTGTTGAAATTGGGTAAATCTTTTATCTTTTTCTTTCTCGAACTTTAAGAGAAGAGACTATTATTGCCTGGCACTTTATACCTTCCAGGGATAGGAGATAGATGTTATATTAAATGTGCTTTGATTTCTTAAAGAAGAAAATTTCTTCTTAAATTCAAAATGCTATTATCCAAAAGAGATCATGGAAAATTGTAGTTGATAGGGACATAAACTTAACCTGAACAACTAAAGCAGTAGGAAAAACTTGAGTTAGGGCTTTAATACAATCACTTTGATAACTGTTTGGTAGTTTCTTAAAAATTAAAAAAATAGGATTACTGTGTTGTTGTTGTTGTTAAGTGCCCTCAAGTCAATACCGACTCATAGCGACCCTGTATAGGGTTTCTGAGGAACAACTAATGGGTTTGAACTGCCATCCTTGTGGTTCACAGTTCAGTGCTGATCGATCCTACAGCACCACGCCATATAGAATTACTATGATGTTGTTGTTAAGTGTCATCAAGTTGATTCTGACTAACAACGATCCTGTCCAGGGTTTCTGAGAAGCAAATGGTGAGTTTGAACCACTGACCTTGTGGTTCGCAGTCCAGTGCTGATCATACAGCACCACACTATATAGCCCAGAAATACCATCTTAGATGCATACCCAAAAGAATTGAAATCAAGAATACAAACAGATATTTGTACCTAAATGTTCATTGCTGCACTGTTCACAATAGTCAAAATCTGGAAACAACCCAAGTGTCCATCAACTGATGAATGAAAAACAAAATATGGTATAAACATTCCATGAATAATTATTCAGACAAAAAAAGAAATGAAAAAAATTAAATGAGCTTCTGATACATGCTACAACAGGGCTGAACCTTAAAAACATCATGCTGAGTGACATCAGACCCCAAATGACAAATACTATATAATTTCATTTATCTGAAATATCTAGAATAGACAAATAAATACATAGACAGGAAGTAGATTAGTGGTTACCATGGGATGGGGGAAAGGACATGAGGAGTTATTGCTTAATGGATATGAAGTTTCTGTTTGGGGTGATGAAAACATTTGGAAATGAATAGTGGTGACAATACTATATGGAGGTTGTTAAGTGCTGTGGAGTCAGTTCTGACTCATAGTGACACTGTATAGGGTTTCTGAGCAGTGGCTGATGAGTTTGAAACAAGTCTTTGGTTCAAACTGACCTTGCAGTCCAGCACAAAAACCCACAGTTCCACTGTTTTATACACTTAAAAATTGATAAAATGATAAATTTTGTTATATATATTTTAGCACAATAAAAGTAAAATGTATGTTATAGTCAAAAAATCATTTTATGAATAGTTATCATTTTAAAGACTATCTCCAAGATCAAGTCTGGATCTCAAAAGGCATTTCAACATGAATTGTTAGGCTCCATTAGCAGTACTCTGTTGGCAATTTACTTCTCATAATCCCCAACCATGTTGCCTTTTACTTACATCATATCTAAATCTGAAGTTTCTTCAGCCCCTACTTCTTGAAATTTTGCATATTTTTCAATCTCCTTCATGGGTTAAAAAGAAACCTAACTTCTTCATAAAAACTTCCCAACCTGTCTGTCAATAGAATATGTTGCTTCTCTGTACTCCTATAATTTCTCATTCACACCTTCTCAGGATGGCATATATACTAACTTAACTTTGTGATAATTTGTGCATCTGTGTAAAACTATGCTCGTTGTATCTACTTACTACTCAGCTCTTTGAGGACAAGACTTGCATTTTATCTTTGACTTCATCTTTGTTCATTTTTAATTGTTTTGTTGTTGTTTTGTGTTGTTCAGTCAATTCTTATTGTTGCTGTTGCTGTTGTTGTTAGGTGCCATCAAGTCAGTACCGACTCATAGCGACCCTATGTACAACAGAACGAAACACTGCCTGGTCCTGGGCCAACCTCACTACTGTTGCCACACTTGAGCCCATTGATGTTGCCACTTTGCCAATACATCTCCTGGGGTTCTTCCTCTTTTTCTCTGACCCTCCACTTTATCAAACATGATATCCTTCTCCAGCTGGTCCTTCCTGACAATATGTCCAAAGTATGAGAGACAAAGTTTGGCCATCCTGGCCTCCAAGGAGCACTCTGGCTGCACTTCTTCCAACACAGATCTGTTGGTTCTTTGACAGCCCATGGCACGTTCAATATTCTCCTCCAACACCATAACTCAAAAGCATCTTTTCTTCTACCATCGTACTTATTCACTGTCCAGCTTTCACATGCATATGTCATTGTTGTTATGTGCCACCGAGTCAGTATCGTCCCATAGAAGAATGAAACACTACCCGATCCTGGGCCAACCTTGCTACTGTTGCCACGCTTCAGTCCATTGATGCTGCCACTTGGCCAATCCATCTCGTCGGGGGTCTTCCTTTTTTTCTCTGACCCTCCATCTTACCAAACATGATATCCTTCTCCAGTGACTGCTCCCTCCTCACAATATGCCCAAAGTATGAGAGATGAAGTTTGGCCATCTTGGTCTCCAAGGAGCATTCTGACTGCACGTCTTCCAAAACAGATCTAGTTGTTCTTTTGGCAGCCAATGGTACTTTCAATATTCTTCTCCAACACCATAACTCAAAAGCATCAATTCTTCTATGGTCTTCTTTATTCACTGTCCAGCTTTCTCATGCATATGAGATTATTGAAAATACCATGGCTTGAGTCAGGTGCACCTTAGTCCTCAAGCTGACACCTTTGCTCTTCAACACTTTAAAAAGGTCTTGTGCAGCAGATTTGCCTAATGCAATGCGTCGTTTGATTTCTTGACCGCTGCTTCCATGAGTGTTGATAGTTGATCCAAGAAGAATGAAGTCCTTGACAAATTAAATCTTTTCTCCATTGACAAGAATGTTGTTTATTGGTCCAGTGGTGAGGATATTTGTTTTCTTGACATTGAGATGTAATCCATACTGAAGGCTGTGCCCTTTGATCTGCATCAGTAAATGTTTTAAGTCCTCTTCACTTTCAGCAAGCAAGGTTGTATCATCTGTATATCACAGTTTGTTCATGAGTCTCCTTCCAATCCTGATGCCACGTTTTTCTTCATAGAACCCAGCTTCTTGGATTATTTGCTCAGCATATAGGTTGAATAAGTATGGTGAAAGAATATAACCTTGTCGCACACCTTTCTTAATTTTAAAATATTCAGTCTTCCCATGTTCTGTTCCAACAATTGCTTCTTGGTCCACATACAGATTCCTCATGAGCAAAATTAAGTGTTCTGGAATACTCATACTTCACAAAGTTGTCCATAGCTTGTCATGATCCACACAATCGAAAGACTTTGCATAGTCAACAAAGCACAGGTAAACATCATTCTGGTATTCTCTGCTTTCAGCCAAGAACCATTAGACATCAGCAATGATATCCCTCATTCCACGGCCTCTTCTGAATCCGACTTGTATGCTTGCAGCCATTTCTGTATTACATTTAGTAAAACTTTACTCGCATGGGATATCAAAGAGATTGTCTGATGATTTCTACATTCCATTGGGTCACCTCTCTTTGGAATGGACACAAATATGGATGTCTTCCAATCAATCGGCCAGATAGTTGTCTTCCAAATTTCTTGGCAGAGATGAGTGGGTGCCTCCTGTGTTGCCTCACTTTCTTGAAAGATTTCAGTTTTTATTCCATCAATTCCTGGTGCCTTGTTCTTTGCCAATTCCTTCAATGCACCTTGGACTTTTTCCTTTAGTATCATTGGCTGTTGATCATATGCTACCTCTTGAAATGGCTGAACATTAACCATTTCCTTTTGGTACAGTGACTCTGTGTATTCCTTCTATCTTCTCTTGATACTCCCTGCATTATTCAATAATTTGTCCAGAGAATCTTTCAATAACGAAAGTTGAGGCTTGAATTTTTTTTTCCACTTCCCCCAGCTTGAGAAATGCTGAGCGTGTTCTTCCTTTTTGGTTTTCTGATTCCAGATCTTTATACATTTTGTTGTAATATTTGGCTTTATCTTCTCTAGCTGATCTTTTTGAAATGTTCTGTTCAGCTCTTGGAACTCCTCACTTCTTACATTTGCTTTAGCAACTCTACGCTGGAGAGCAAGTTTCAATGTCTCTTCTGACATCCATTTTGACCTTCTCCTTCATTCTTGTCTTCTTAATGACTTTTTGGTTTCTTCGTGTATGATGCTTTTTATGTCATCCCACAACACTTCTGATCTTCAGTCTTTAGTGTTTAATGTATCAATTCTGTTCTTCAGATGATCTCTAAATTCAGGTGAGGTATATTCAAGGTCATATTTTGGCTCTCCTGGACTTGTTTTCATTTTCTTCAGCTTCAGTTTGAATTTGCATATGAGTAATTGTTGGTCTGTTCCACAATCTGCGCCTGTACTTGTTTTGACTGATGATATGGAGCTTTTTCATCATCTCGTTCCGCAGAGGTAGTCAATTTGATTTCTATGTATTCCATTTGGTGAGGTCCATGTGTTATGCTGTCTAAAGAAGGTATTTGAAATGAACAAATCATTGTTTTTGCAGAATTCTATCATGCGTTCTCCAGCATCATTTCTATCACCAAGGCCATATTTTCCAACTATTGATCCTTCCTCTTTTCTCCCAACCTTTGCATTCCAATCACCAGTAATGATCAATACATCTTGATTGTATGTTTGATCGATTTCCGATTGAAGAAGTTGGTAGAATTCTTCTATTTCATCTTCACTGGCTTTAGTGGTTGCCTATAAGATAGAGTAGAGCTGTAAACCAGAAGGTTTCCCATGCTGTAAACTTTACAGGAACAGATTGTCAGTTCTTTCTCCCACAAAAGAGTTGGTGGGGTTGAACAGCCTACCTCTCCTTGTTAGCAGCTGAGCTCTTAACCAATGCACCAGTAGGGCTTCTTGCTGTAACAGCAGTCATGCAAAAGTTGCTGTTGTTGTTATTGTTGTTGTTAATGCCATCGAGTCACTTCTGACTCACAGTGATCTACTTCTAAAAATCAGCCATGGGAAATCCTATGGAACACAATCCATTCTGGCACACAAGGGGTCGCCTTGCCTCACACTCTCTAAAAAATATAACAAATAAGGGGAAATATTAAAATAGGTAAAAATCATGAAAAATCTAAAACTTTACTATTTACAAGGTGCAGCACTGTATTGGCTTATAATGAAAGTTGGTGCTCTGGTGTGGTGCTATAGAATAACCACTGGAATGCTAATCATAAGATCAGCAATTCAAGCACACCAGCTGCTCCTTGGAAACATTACACAGGGTCACTATGACTCAGAACTGACTCAAAAGCATTTAACAACAACAGCAATAATAAAGCTAAATCCATGTCCAATGCTGGACTAATTCAGCAGTCATCAAACCAAAGACCAGGCTTCATTATAAACCAATAAAAATAAGGGGGAAAATAGGAGTTCTCCAGCCACACCAGACAACATCCCTGTCTCCAGGATTCACCTCACAAACACACTTCATTGGTCAGAGCAGTCAATAAGGCAAGAGAACATTGTGATTACATATCCTCATCCAGCAAGCTAGTCAGCCTTAAACTTGGTAAATGTATTATAAACCTGAATAGAAGGAGAGAGAAGCCCAAAGACTCAGTCTCCCCTTTGAGCCTTCTGTTTCCAAACACCTGGGTAGTGACTGAGGATGCTGGAGGTGCTTTCCTTTTCTCAGAGTAGCTGTGAGTTGGACCTGACTCCACAGCACTTAGCAACAACTAGGTGAAGACACCTTTTCAATGAATATTTTACTGATAAGAAGTTTTCTCATCTAGACAGTCCAAGGAGGTTCTCAATACCATGACCTCTGAATCAAAGAAAGGGTGAAGAATTCATCCCCATGCAAACTAAAAGTGACAAAGTCAAGTTTGTGAACCAGAGCTAAGTCCTGAGTGTCCTACAAGAAGGCTGCAGCCCTGCCCACCACCACCACCCCTCTAATGTTTGATCACACTGCCCTCCACACACTCTACCCATACTGCAGAGCAAACCACTAGCTTATCCTGTGGCATGTCCTCTGGAGTCCCTGAGGGGAGCAAATGGTTAAGTGCTGGGCTACTAACCACAAAGAAACTCAGAAGTAAGCCTTGGCTATCTGCTTCCCAAAGGTCGCAGCCATTGAAACCGGAGCAGTTCTACCATGTACACATGGGGAGGCCATGAGTCCGAACTAACTCAACAGCAACCAGCAACAACAGAATGCCCTCTGCTGGTAATGCCATTCCATAGGGACCAAAACTAGAATCAACCACTGCTCTTCCACAACCGCCCTGGGGACCATCTGCATCAGAACCAGTAGAAGTGTTTCTTTTAAATGACGGTTCCCACATTCCCCCTCACAGAGTCAAGGGCCTAGGAATCCTGCATTTTAAGTAAGCAGTCTGGGTAATTATTATGACACTAACATTTGAAAATGACGCCCTGGTAGTAGATTGGGTAACAAGTTGGACTTCTAACCACAAGGTCAGCAATTCCAATCTACCAGATGCTCCAAGGGAGAAAGATGACGCTTTCCACTCCCATAAAGATATATAGTCACAGAAACCCTATACAGGGTCATTATGAGTCACAACGACTCAATGACACACAATCACTATAACCAAAGTTTGAAAAGGATTGCTCAAAAAGAGAGGTATCTCTGTATATTTATCTCAGATAAATACTGCATATTGTTACTTTATCCATTCTAAAAGTGAGAGAATCAAATTAGATATGTGACAGAAAAAAATCATTTAAAAGTCTAATGTGTGGCACTGGACTGCAACATCTGTTTGAACTGCAAGGTCGGCAGTTCAAACTCACCAGCCACTCCTCGGAAGCCATATACAGAGCCACTGTGGCTCAGAATCAATTCAACGGCACTAAGCAACAATAGTAATAGTCAACCCCAAAACTGAGTACTAAATTGATCATATTGCCAGGGAATAATAGTAGACAGCTATAGGATAAGCACCAGCCTGGCACTTGGCTTGTCTACATCACTGTGGTCTTCTCCTTGTATGGAGTATGTATACTCAGCTTGCATCTATTCACTAGATCCAAACTTTTCTCAGGATAAGGCATAAAATGTAAGATTTCACTCCAAATCGCTTTCAGTTTTTTCAGAGCCCTTGGTGGGAATCATAGGAGGACATGAAGTGGCACCTCATTCAAGACGCTACATGACTCTCCTCAAAGGGACTGAAGTCTGTGCAGGAGCTTTGATCAAAGAAAATTGGGTACTGACGGCAGCTCACTGTCAAATGTAAGTACTTCTTCATCCCTCTGATTCTCAAAGCAGAATGCTGCTAAGTGTCATCCAGTCAGTTCCAACTCATAGCTACCCTGTATAGGGTTTCTGAG